CCATTATACTCGCCATTATAAAAATAGGTATTCGACCACCACCATCGCATTTTCCTCAACACGTATAATTTATCTGGTCAGTTGGAGCGCCTCGAGCAAGAATTCGAACGAACGACACCGCTCTGCGTATGTTTTTTGACCGAGGTGCTTCAACTGGCTTAGAGAATATACCTAATGTTATTGAGATCCCCATAGTGAGAATGGAATTCAAGACACTGTATAATAATAATTTCAGCTCGTTTACGTCCAATTCTTTTCGATCTCACCGAGCTTTCTATGCAAGTTGATTATTTTGTAGTCCCGATTCTGTTGACCAGTCAAATATAAATATTTCATCGATCAGTTCTATTAGTCAATTCAATATCAGTCAATCAAAATCAGAGAATTTTGATCGAACGCATGATTATTCCTGTGCCTCTTACCCAGTAATGATTTTTTATTATTCTTTCCACATCATGCAAATCAACACAAAAACTGCCCAGAAACAATATCCACCACAAATACAATTCGGTGAAGAAATGGCTATCTATAAAGGACGAATCAATATATTGAGAAGATAATATTACATTATATTACAATCTGTAAATTGAAGACGTGAAATTTGATTTCTCAACTATAATGTATCTCGAGAACTGAACACTTGAAGACCTATCTCAGTGATTATGAAATCAGGAGGGCTATCACCTGTCAAGGTCGAATTTCGCAACACCCTGTATATCTGGCAATGGGCTCTCAAATACTCAAAAAAATGTCGATGGAAATTATAGATTAATCATTTTTGAAACTCATGAAAATATTTTGATTGACTAATATTCCAATGTTTCTCGCGAAAATATTTTTTGAATTGATATTTGACTAGTCCACATTCATCATATCTGTTCACATAAATCACTATGACTAAAGAAACTACCTAATGAATAGAATGTATTACTGCTCAAATTGTATATGTACATGCAAGAAAACACATAAAAACTAGAATGATAGGCAAGAACATGTAACATGTACGTTACTTTACACTCTTATTTCTACGAAAATTAGTGATGTTAACGAACAACAAATTTACAAAGAGAAGATAAAAATAAAATGCAGATCTTTAAATATTTCACATTTTAGCCAATGATAGAGATGCTAAAAGCAGAATGATAAATTCATCACATCACTCAAGCTCACCAGTACATATTTGTTTACTACTTACAGACTATTAGTTCATTCTTAGTACATTTACCGAAATTATATGAAAAAGTTATAAAATGTAATGTTTGTCAATATTTCTTTGATTTGGTGATATGATGATGAATATAATTAAGATATTTTCAAAAGAGGAATGTTTTGATGAGTTAGGTACTAAAGTGCCTCGAACATTTGACATTTTACGTATTTGGAGAAACAGAGTAAAATATGAAGAAACCAATATGCCTCCACAACGTATTGATAAGAGATATAACAACCAGTGACTAAGAAATATCAAACATTCAATAAGTTGTTTCTTAATTATAATCAACCATTTGCTAGATTGTTTTCTCCTGATTGATGGTTCACAAAATCATCTTCATCACAGTGTTTTCACAAAAGGCAATTTGTATGATAACCCTATTGAAAACTTCACAATTTAATCTATCAAACTATTCTTATCGCAAATCTTCATTATCGAAATTGGTATTTTCTTATTCTTTCAAAATATAGATAGAAACGAATGGTATTGTACACCGAATTTATTACAAGCAAATTCTCTCAAAAAATGTTCTCGTCGTCATGTCATCATCAGGAATAATTTTCAGCAGAAATTAAACAAAATAATGCAACATAAAAGGAATATTCCACATACCCATAATTTGACTATTCAGGTATCACAGAAAAATTATAAAGATTTTCGAATAAATTAATGGAATGCAAAAAATAAGTTGGGCAGTAATTTCTTAGGGCTGGTTTGAAAGAATTTGAATGTGACAGAGTACAGCCTTCGAGACATACCTACTGATTCAAATTATGTAATTTTCAAGAAAAAAATGACAATAAGCCGCATTATCGAGATAATGGCTGTATGACGAGAGTATATTGAGACAAAACTCATTTTTTTTTAGTTTTCATGTTACATTTAGTGAAGACAGTCCCGATGATTTGCCCCAAAATCTCAGAGCGCTTGAAATTTTACTATTAAAAACCTGAAAGGGAAATACAATCGATGTTAGTACATAAGTATGCATTATTTGACGTCTTCAATTGTTTTCTGTCACTTCCGGTTTGACCGGAAACGACCCTTATTTTCTTATTTCAAATGAGACACCCGGTATATTTTTACTTATTTCGATAAAGAATCACATTATGAGTACAATGGCACCCCATTTGCCACTTTTTGACATTTTAATTAATAGCATGTTAGTTTTTTTATTTCAACTGATTTATCAATTCATAAGAAATAGTTTTTCTTGACTATTCCACTCTTGATCTCGAGAACCAATCAGAATCGACCATTTTTACGGTTTCTTCTGTATTCTAGCGATATTTTTTGTTTATTAAATTTTATCGGACTTACTCTACCAATACAGAAGCCGAATTGACCCACACGTGACCAACAAACCTCGTTTATCAGCGATAAAATTTTGACATCGTGTCTGGTCAAGATTGCTTTGGATTCAAATCTGATACAATAACCTAAGTTCGTACTTTAGTTTATTTACTTATAATTCGCGTTAGTGAGATATTTTGTAAGGAAGGCGAGACAATTTTATTCTGGCTGGACGTTTCATGTGTAATTTAAAAAGTTTGCATATTTGTTGACGGTCTGACACAACAATACTAGAATTCAAATTCCTCTTTAAAATAATCTTCTTCAATCACTGAACTTATTGTGACTCACTAATATAATTACCAGCTGATGTAGCGCAACTGTTAGGGTTGTTGCGCGAGGATACGAAGGTCGATGGTTCGAGCCCTCGGCGACGATATCTTTTTTTTTAAATCATTCCATGTCACATAAATTCAATTTATTTTGTTTGAATTGAATAGCAATTGTATACACTCTTTTGAGAGCAACCATCTCCAAGATAATAAAAAATACTGTTTATCAAAATTGTACATTCCACTTTGTGAATAACTATAAGTAGGTAGTTAATTTCTAAAAAAGTAAATTCTGTATTTCATTACTATCATTATGTTCTTCTTTGCAGTTCAAGTTGGAATATACTTAAATTATGTTTCCTATTTCTTATATATATTGTCTCATTCAATCATGAAATAGTCATACGAATACAACTCGTGATACTATTTTTCCTGGAAATATTCGTCGATTGACATACTCCAGCTTGCTGCTCTAATTTCGCTCATGACATTGTTATCAAAACTACGAGCCGTAGGCGAGTAGTTTTGGATCAATGTCATTCACGAAATTACTAGGCAACAAGCTGTCGTAACAATCACCGAATATTTCCGGCAAAATATTATCACGTGTGGTATTATATATGAGAATTTTTGCCAAAACCAATAAGTTCAATATGGCTGAGCGCAAATGCCTTAACAAAAATAGTTTAGTGTAACGCCTCCTTGATGTTTTTTTTTTATTATTAACGATGACGCTTCATCACAATAACATTAGAGCGTTTAGGCAGATTATGATACTGGATATTGATTCAAAATATCGATTATATGGTATCAACGTGTTCATAACAAAATACCCTCTCCAGATAATGGTGATGAGCCGAAATTGGGTAAACATCATAATAATTACGATATTGTGAATTTTGAATGAACCTGTGAAACAAATGGAAAGTAAAACTTCATCAAAACAATTTTTCCTTGGCAACTTGATTCGAAATCAACTGTTCTTACTCATTCATGGCACTCTAGATTGAAAATTGAATAATGAAAATTTCAGGATGATAAATGTCAAAAGGCAAATAGTGTGTCATTGTACTCACATTGTGATTCTCTATCGAAATAAATGTCCCATTTAAAATAAGAAAATAAGGGTCGTCTTCGGTCAAACCGGAAGTGACAGAAAACAATTGAATACGTCCAATAATGCATATTTATGTACTATACTTGCACACCGAATTTCATTTGTTTATCTGTAGAAACAAAAAATGTATAGAGTTGATCAACCTTTGAAAAATACCCGGTAGATATGTTGAAAAATATAAAATTCCTTGGGAATTTTCTTCATTTTTGTTTGTCACATGATCTTTCTATCATTTGTAATTCATATTTTTCTGTCAACTCCTGTTATGGTCTTTACAAATTCATTTGAGACAAATTCAGCAAGAGCTGTCTCAAGTGACTTTGCAAAGAATGTACTACGAAGTGTCCATAGAAGAAAACGAGGGCGATCTGTGAAGCATTTTTTTTTCATTTTTATGTTGAAAATGGAAGCAGATTCTTCCCGACATATCCAAGGTTAAGTAATTATTATTATTCATCAATAATTTTTTAAACAGGGCGACTATCGATTCAATTTCTCGTTTAGGTTTCTAGTAGTGAAATTTCAAACGCAGTGACATTTTGGACAAATCATCTGATTTGTCCCTACTGCAAGTTTATCGAAATGATAGTACAAATATTTTTATTTAAAGAGACGAGGACAAACATTCACGAAAAATTTAGATGGATGAATATTCCACCTCCTCGGCTAACCAACAGACACTATTACAAGTACTCAGGCTATAAAAAGTAAAAGACGCCAATCGTTCCAGTAACTCTAATTCCCTACTTGTGTACAAGTGAAGTGAATCTCAGAAATAAGATGTACCAGTTCTTATATCATATCTTTCGAAGTCGCGTATAAATTTTGAGCTAAACAGTCAGTGAAGTTGTGTCACCCAATTCACTATTTGTCAAGTTACTGCCTTAGACATCTGAAAGTCATTCTATATCCTTGAAACATTTCAAAGAATATTTTGTTAATTTCGGTAAATGTACTTCTTTAATTATTTACTCAATACGGTGAAAACATCAGTACTACACTACTTCAAGTCCATGCTTACTAGAACTGATACTAAGTTATAAAGTCAGTGATAGTTATTATTACCTTGATCGAAACAACTAGGATTGATAAAGTTTATCAATTCATTCTCAGTAAGAGAAGTAAATGATTGAGGAATCATTCTATCTTCATTTTTCTTATCACTGTGCACAGTAGAAGTGATATCTTTGACAGATATCGGTAGGATATATTCAGACTTTTGATCTTTGCAGTTAATTGAAGAATTCATCGTTGTGGGAAACGGTTGTGCAAAGCTATTACTGCTACTTTGTAATTGACTTAGAGTGTTATTCGTTGTGGTTGAAGGTAAAGTAGTTGTTTCCATCTCATTCAGTTTCTGTTGCGTTTCTAAGAAGTCAACAGCAGCATTCAGTAAAAGTGCTTTCTCAGGTTCAGCGGCAAGGGTCACTGAAATAGGTGAGGTCAAAGAACCCAAAGCTTCCGAAGAACTCTGAGTAGTGTTTGGAACCATAAGTGGCTGTTGTGATGGGGCAATGCTGCCAGGAATCAGCGCTGACTCAACATTGCTACTCGACTGACATAAACTCAAATTAGGAGCAGTCAGTAACCCTTCTTGTTGCAAACCATTTGTATTTCGACACATCAGGCTTGGTGAAATTTGTGAATTCAAAATTACTTCAGAAGTCAGATTCGGTGAGGTATGCACATTACTCATCTCTTGTGGGGAAGCCATTCTTGTATTTATCATCGGTGGCACCATCAGGTTTGTTTGAGGATTCAACATTACATCTTGTGATGTTATGATACTATTGGCAACAGTATCATTCGCCGTTACCAATGCCATATTATTAATGAGCAAGTCTTTAGGTGATGTGTCATTTCTAGTGGGACTGAGATGGGTCTCCACGGTGGAGTTCACTAATGCGTCAAGCCTTTCAGTATTGATAGGCGTGGGGATACTTCTTTCCAAAGCAGTAGCGATCGTGGTGATGGTTGAAGATGCCATGGTATCAGTCTGCTCTCGTGTTGATTGTTCAGCTATGTCAGCACTTTCCGACTTGGCCACGATATTGACAGCTTCATTTTGTGTGATAGTGGAGGACAAGAATGGACGGGAGGAACTCAAAAATATTGGATCTCGCCCCGAAACGGTTGTGTTTGTGCTCAAGTGTGACATAGCACACGTGTTCAACATTCCACAGTTTTGATTCGGCATCATGTGCAATTTTTGAGACTGGAAAACATTGGAATCTGCTGAAATTATTTGAGATAGCTTCGTGCTGAGATCATTCTTCATTAACAATCCAGTTGGATTCCTGAACGGAACCACAGATGGTTTTGCTTCAATCCTAGTCAAATAATTTTCTACACTTTGTCCACTCTGATTAGGCAATGGTTCAGTAGAATGCTCAATGCCGAAACCCTGCAGAGCTGTGATAGATGTTGCAGTTGTATTAACAAGATCAACTGGCGTTATTGGCATCTTCATTCTCAGATCAATTACTTTCTCCAATGCGTGATTTGTGAGAAGTCCAGTGTGTTGAGGAATATTGGTTCTTTCACTAACTGTAGGTTGTGTGGAAGTACTACAACTGCTTTCTTCATTCACTATTGACAAATTTGAGTGGGCACAATCCATCGAATTCTCACAAATTGATGTAACCTGTCTGTTCACGGTTTCTCTATGTGAAATGATGTCAACACTATCATCATTGGTCAGACTCGACTGGCTGACTGAATTTCGACGAACCATCATTTCGACACTATTCTCATTACCAACACTTATGTTAGAATTTTCATTCATATGACTCATCATCGAACTCTGATTAAGCATGTCCATGGAGTTTTCATTTATCATCGAAATGTTAGAGTCGCCGTGATGAACGTCAAGGGAACTTTCGGACAAATGTCTGTATCTCTCCTGCTCGATAGTGGAGCACTGACTATTTTCATCCATGTATTCCTGCTTCAAGGCATGCAAAGGGGAAGGATGGTCCTCACTCGAAGATGGCAAACTAATGGAAGGCCGTCTAGTCGCCATTGGAACAAGGCTGGATTCAGGAGGGGGCATCATGTCTAGATCTTGCTCTCGTTTGCTTAGGGATGACTGCCAAAAAAATGGTGTTGGTTGTGTAGTCGGAGGATCGATGAGAACTGTAAAATATAAACTGGTCAGTCGATAGGTAACTACATTTGAATACTAGTACTAATATCTGCCAGCAGGCGGGACCACTGTAAGAAAAGGGAAGGGGCAGTGCCACTCAAGCCGAGCAGAGATTCAATATTCATTATATTCATTGAAGATTCATCAGATAGATCAATACTTATGAAAAACAAAGAAAACAAGGCTTGATAGACATGACCCACAATGTTGACGCCTTATATTCTCTCGGAGACATGTTATTTCATCAACTATCATACACTCTCAACCGAATCACACCTTACCTACTTCTTCAATGAAGGATCTACAGGATTTCAAGAAGTGTAAAGAAACTGTATCATCCTGACAAGGCACGCAATTGAGCATAAATGTATAGGTTCTGAGATTCAATATTCTGAGAGGATTTCGTTTTTCAATTCTCCGTCGAAATATCATTACTCTACTACTGAAAAATTGCTCGAATTGAAGACACAACTTTTTGTGGTACAATTTTATACACACAATCAGAAACATCTTCAATACATTTTTTCATTATCGAAAATCAAAAAGTTGCCCCCTAATGATAGTAATAATCAATTAAACGCTTCACTGAAGAAATTGATTCAAAACAATGAGAAGTTTAAATAGGGAATAGTTTTCTACTTCCTGAAAGTCGTATATAAATGTAGGTCGATCAAAAATAAAATTGTAACTTTGCCTGGATAATACAGAATCTAGAGACGTGTGGGATTGACAATATTAAACTTTCGACCAAATTATTTTATGGAAAGAACTCAACAATAAGAAGAAACCTCTCTACTAAAACATGCCTGTCCGTCTTTTCTTGCATTTTTATGTACCACCACCACCCTAGTATAACTATGCTACATATCTTTTACATGTGATGAGTTGAAATAAAATATTCTAGGCTTTAAATGTTGAGATGGATTGAAAATAACGGAATTTCTTGATTTCTCGTTACAACTCGGTAGTGCAGAATAACGCGATCGTGCATGAATCCGAAAAAAAAAGGTTTTATGAATAATCAAACTGCTGGAACAAAATAAACACATTTGACAACAGACGAATATTTGAAGCTATGATAAAGTTAACATTCGTGAATGATTCCTGATGATGAAATCGTCTGGTTACTTTTTTTGACAAAAATTTGAGTGATTTTGATTGAGAAATATGACCTATACATCATTTCTACGTAATATTGGTACTCTTGTTTGAACACGATATTTTCATCTGTTCATCGAGAAGAACGCTATTGAACAGTTCAGAGTCTCAGAAGTTAGTTACAAATATTATTTCATTCATGAAGAGTGTGCTTTGAACTATCAGATAATGTTGCTGGTAATGGCATTTCTTGTCAGAGACTGAATTTTGGTGCGAGTTTATAGTCAAAATTTTGTTGATTGAAACGCCTCGTCACAATCATTTTATGAATGAATAAATGCGGGATGCAACCAGAAGGTATGAATTGTAATATCTCTAATATCTAGACGGAAAGCAACCAAATCACAAAACTTTTTCAAATATATTTCATATACAGCGAAATTATTAGCGAAAAACCGACAGAAAACGAAAAAAATCAACTTTAACGCCGTGTATCTCTTTTCACAGCAATATTTTATCAAGGCATGTTTGGTCCAATCGCCATATTTTGGTCCAAATAATCCGCCCTTAGCCTATGTCCCAATAGTTATGACTCACCCTGTATAATTGTACTTATCATGCGAACTTTCCCAAAACGTACCAGAAAAACGAAGGGACTAATAGTGAATATAATGGATAACAGTAATAGACAGGTCAATGTAACTAAATGGCAGTGATTCAGGTAATATGAACGTTTTGAGACTAGTTGAATAATCAAATAAAAATATAGGTATATGTTGAATGTTGAATATATAGATGTATTTTTTATGTTCCCTGCTATAAACGAATTTGTTTCTTGGAAATAATGAAGTTGATTGATTGATTGCAGAGTCAAAAGTTATGAACCAATTATATATTTCTGCAAATACCATCGTGAGTATATTTTGCAGAATACAAAGTGATTCGAATCAGTAGTTTCTGAGTGGATAACACGATAATAATATTAATGATCGAAATTGATGTTTCAGTGTTTGTCATTGACTATGGATGCCTATATTGCCAATAATAATCGAGTCCCTTTCCTGTTATTATTGCAACTATTCCGCATGATGAATTACACTCACGGTAGAATCCAAATACATGTAAAAACGAGAGACCTAATTATTTACGTTTTAGCCCGATCAGTCATCGTTCGATCCCCCTTGCCAGATAGTCGCGTGGTAGAAGCGTTAGTATTCTAATCAGGATGGATCGCCGGTCGTGGGTTTAAATCCCCGACTGCAGAAATGTTTCTGAGGGCCCAAGATAGTGTTTGAGATCACACGTTAAAGGGTAAGGCTCCTGTTATTCCTTGCTCGCCCAAGTCCCGTGAAGACTTCTAAGAGTTTCTCATAAGGGGCCAACCGAATGATTTATAGAACAATTTTAGTACGAAAACAACAATTCAACACGAAATAATGGTTATAGTTTAGTAGAGCTTAATTGTTTCTTATAATTTCCATTTTATGGATTAGTCTTATTGAATTTTAAACCCGTCGTAATCACTTTTCTCAGGGGTGGATCAGCTGAATACAAATTTTACTAATCACCGGTAAGTAAGGTTATGTGATAGCCATCACATCATATCATCAAAAGTGCATTGTTGCCAAACAGCCGCCGCCGTGTAGTTGTCTCTCTCGCACTCGTTGCATACCTCCAAGCAATAACAGATCGGCATGCAGAGCGTGTTATCAATTAAACATTTGGTCTCTCGCTTTTAAATGTATTTGGTAGAATCATAATATATGAAACATAAATAGTCGACCACCTAGTGTAAACTCGCCTAACGTCTAGGCCAATGAAAAGCGAGATCAAACACTCGCTATCTCACTCCGCTTCATTCTCATCTGATATGTACCATTAATATGTATTATGTTTATTATATTCTTTAGGGTCCCTTGATGGAAATTGACGTTAAAGTCATCTTAACAGGGTACGGACAGATCCTCGACTCTTCTCACTCTAAAGTGTTTGTGAAACAGTTATATAGTTCCATCCTTATTCAATTCTGGGGATAAACACTAGATTTTTGACATTCGTTGTTTTTTAGGTTATATTGAGGTCACTGGCGTATCATACGTAATTTCCATATAGAAATCCTGATTCAACTATACCAAGATATAGATGAATAACAATCCTCTAGTTTTAGAGTTTACTATTACGAGGTAGGGAACAGATAAATTGTACTGAAAGGTTAATATATTTCACCAAAAGAGACTGTTCTTAGACTGTATACCAGGGTTGACTGAATTGACTGAATGAATTCTGATTTCAAGCTGAGCAGAAGATTATCTATGAGCCGAATGAGGTGAGCCTTATGATTGAGAAATGGTGGAAACCTCGATGTGGTATCTGAACTACTGTACTCATGTCATGTGTGCTAAATATATTTTCGGGAATCCAATTCGGAGAAGAATTCATGGAGTGACTAATATCACACTATGTATAAAACTTCGTCTGGGACGGAAAGTGGGCTGATAAAAAGTAATACGTGGAATGTGCAGGAAAATAAAGAATAGAATATACTTCACCCCCATGTTATACATATGATTTTTGCGTCTCCCTTAAATAAAAAGTCATTTTCGAATAATTTATTGATGAAAGTAACAAAGAAGTAGGTATACGCAGTATAACTTATATTCACACGTTATTTTCACTCTTGCATCCTACATATTTTCTATTCGTGGTAGAATAATAATTATATAAACTAATGTCTTTCGTAATATTGGATCCGTCATCTTGAATTTTCGAATTTTGACGAAACAATCATTATCTCCGACCCCGGAAATCCCCAGATACCAATTTCGATTTTCGGATAGAATCGGACCATAATTACAAAATTCGTTCGCCATATTGAATCCGCTATCTTGAATTCTCTAATTTTGACAAAAAATCATGAACTTTGAGCACGAAAACCCTCAGATACCAATCTTAAATAGAATCAGATCATGATTAGAAATTTCTTTCGCTATATATTGAATCCGTCATCTGGAATTTTTCAAGTTTGACGAAACAATCATCATCTCCAACCCCGGAAAACCCCAGAAACTTTCCGATTTTGAATAGAATCGGATCATAATCACAAAACTCGTTTCCATTTATGATCTTCCTCAACAAGTAAATACCCTGTACATACCTATTATTAAAATTTTGAATGATTATCTGTAGCGCCCATGGATGTGACGTGACAGCAATGTCAGGGATGCCAGTAGACAAAACTAAAGTCTCTAGATCAATAAAAAAGAATGCAGCTATGATCTGTCCGTACCCTGTTAAGATGACTTTAACGTCAATTTCCATCAAGGGACCCTAATATTCTTGACTTTGAACATTGACTGAGTGACTTAGATGCACAAGGAAGGTTAGGCTTAGGACATATCCCTACTCCACTGTCAGGTGAATTATGATAAACGTGGTATGTTTGGAATGAGTACATAATTATATTCAGCACATCAATACAATAAAGTCCAACGAATATTTCCATGATATACAATTTTTCTTAATTCTTATCAATTAACGAGAAATTTCATCACGAAAATTGAATGAAAATCGGAAAAAATCAAGTACATCAATTCAAGGATTCAACTCCGCGTGAATGTACCTTGCGCTCGGAAATTTATACAGAGGCGATGTCAGAATTGCTACAGTGAGTGAAACACTTTGGATGGAAAAAAGGGTCCTAATCCAAATATATATATTTTTTTATTGATGCCATTCGATAGTGTACGTCGAAGGATTTGAAATATTTGTATTTATTTCAATGTCACTGTGTAATTTGAGGTTCTTTGGGGCCAAAATAAATGACAATAGGTAGCGGAAGTACTGCCATTGTCACATTTGCGATGATGAAAATAATATGTGTGAACCGGATACG